AGAACAAACTCTTCAAGTATTTTTAAACATCTTTCCACATTTGACAAAATTATAAGTTTTACAGCTCAGTTTAGGAGAGCTTATCTCTGTGTAAAGCAACAGTTAAATGCAATTTGCTTAATTTATTAAATGAAAAAAGTTAATTTAAAAAGCAGGGTTAAGTTAAGTTAAAAGTTCTTTAGATATGAAAAACTCAAAACTCTAAATTACCTAGAAGTTCTGAGCTGAACAATATTTTAAGCTTAGAATATATTTTGCCGAGTGCGGATAGTTGCCTGCGGTCTTGTACTCCTGTTTTATGTGCGAAGCCTGAGCGGGCTAAGCATAAATTGGGACCTAACTCGGCTTTGCCAACCAATCAACATTAATGTCATGGGCATAAACTTTTAATAACCGGCAATTAAATGTACTTTCCCCCTGTCCAACCATCTCTCGATTCCCGATTCCCGATGCCCGATGTCCGATGTCTGATGCCCGATGACCAAATCCCCCGCAGCGCACCGAGGAGCGTTCCATCCAGCTGGCCGTGCGTGTGCACAAGACCCTGGAATTGGCGGACGATAAGTTTTATGTGATTACCTGTGGCAAATCGGGCTATGCGCGGTAAGTCGGCGAATGCTTAACCTGTCTAGACAATTGCACTTAAGTTCTATTTCGGCTCCAATTTGCTCCGTGTGTGCTGTAATTTTTGGTCAAGCTTCCGTCAGTCCAAAGTGCTGGCCAATTTCCAGAGACTCGGCGGCGGCTCACAACAAATGAAATCAAAGAGCAAATTGTGCTGACCATGGATGGATTTCGATTTGGATTTGGTATTCGATTTGGATGCAGGCGCGTAGGTGTTGCTCTTAACCGACCATTTGCCATTGTTCGCATTTCTTTCTGCCATTGTGGAATTAGAACTCAAGGCCATTGAGCTTTGGGCCACTATCCCTCGATTCTTTCACTCAATCACCTTTTTTGTGCGGGCAAAAAAGAAAGAAAAGTGAGAGAATAATTCCCAAAAAGGCAGAATAATCAACAAATTTATAGTGCTTACTGGGCAGCAGTTCAATTAACGGTAAACTTCTTGAGGGGCCCGATAATCATCTTGAGGTGAACGAAAAACAATTTAATTTACCTTCTCGCCTCGCGGCTCATTTGCATAATGCCAATGACTCTGCTCGACTGCGACTTACGCAAGTCTTTCTCAGCTAAATCCCCATTGGGCTGCTGCTAATACAAAAACCTCGGATGGGAAATAAAAATGGCATTAAAAACGGTTTTCCAAAACGTTTCGCTCTGTTAAGCCCCGGAAAAAAGCAAAGAAATTGCTAACAGAATTTGTGTGGTAAACGCAAACATTAAAATCGTGCTTGTCCATGTACAAGGCGAACAACAAATAGTTTTAGACGTGTTCACATATTTGTATCGCTGCTTATGTGGCCCACAAAGTAACTGTCTATAGCGCAATGACCGGCAATTGCAATTGCATAATTGCAGAACAAGCAATTGCAGCTTCGCCCAAAGCTTTTGGGTCTATTGGCCATGTTTTTAATTAGCCCCTGCCACACGGAGTAATTACACAGTCGTCCAGCGCTATTCCCCCATATTATAAGCCCATAATATAAACCCTCTTCCCACAACCTCTCTCCCCAGCGATGACAATGCCCATGTGGTGCTCAAGTTCCTGGAGAACGATCACCGAGTGCGTGAGACGGTCTACGGGCACGAGTACAAGATCCGCGCCGAGTTCTCCAAGCCAAACGGTGGGTAGTCGTAGTCCCGGCCCCTGGGCGCTGTTTTAACGCTCTGCTCTTGATTTACCATCACCAGATACCTATGGCCTGCGTGTGGGCAACTGCTTCGCCTTTGACAAGAAGAACAGGACCCAAAAGCTCACCGACGACAGCGGGTAAGTCAATTTTCACTTAATATACATCTAGAAAAAAGAAACCTAAAAAAAACCAACTAAGCGGAGGAGTTTTTCAATTTATTTAGTATTATTAAATAAATTTTTTATAGATTTTATAAAAAGATTGCATATTGATTAGAATACTTAAAATAAATTTCTTGTAAACAACTTGCTAAATTGGGACTCACACTATTTTTAAATAGGTATAAATTATCTTAAAATACATATGTATATCCACGAATTAGTAAATCAATCCGTTTTATTTTAATGGTTTTGATTTTTAATAGGGAAACTACAATATAGATTTACTATTATGGTGTATTATTATTAATACTTTATTTTTCCCAGTGAGAAGACATTCTTTACTTATAATTTCTGTTTTTCCCCAAAGCTGCCCCTATGATTCGAAGATTATCAGTCGTTTTGTGCCCACAGCAGATGGACGAGCTGCCGAAGCGGTGCTCTCCTCGATGTTCAAGTTCCCCGAGGGTAGGACATGGAATTTTCACCTGAGACCCCCTGATTCTAACTTTCCCTTGAACACTTTCAGGATCGGAGGTGCATCTGCAGTGCGATGTGATCCAGTGCTATGGTCGCTGTGTGGAGATCGATGACTGCAACGATGTGGCACTGGCTGGTTTCGGCAAGGGCACCAATGGACCGCGGAAATTCGGGCCAAATGAGGAGGGTTCCAGTCTGGCTGGAACCACGGTCTTTGTGCTCGATCCCGCCGAGGCTAGATGTGAGTTAAGCCGCTGAAATAAGTGGCTTATTTATGGTATTTATATTATTGTATCCCTGTAGTAATCTCGGGCAATTGCGAGGATGGCATCCGACCCAGTTGGCTGCTGTGGCTGACCATCACCCTGGGCGTACTATTCCTGATCATGCTGCTGATGAACATCTTCCTTTGCACGGCCATGAGCTGCAGTTGTGCTAATACAGAGGTAATAAATCTGACTTTTTTCGTTGCACAGAGAAAAATCAGAATTAGAGAAAGTTTTTGAATAAGCTTAAATAAGCTAGAATCAATATTTTTCTTTTATAAATCTTTAAATCTGTTAAAGTAATGTTCTATTTATTTTGCTTCTATATTAAGTATACATTATATCTGTAAAAACCAGATAAAAATGTGGTAAATATTTTTCTGTGTACAACGTCATAAGGATCTTTTGTTTTCCATAAATCTCACCCAATCGAACACTTGCAGATTATCGAGAAGGAGCCATCGATCATCGAGGAGTACGATCCGTACCGCAGTTGGCATGGCAGTCAGTATGGATCCCGTTACTCGCTGCACGGCAGGGATGCCCACAAGGGCTACACCAGCGGTGGCTCCACGATACACTCAAATAGGTCTGATAGATATTAAGCTGCCTCCACAAAATAAAAAAAACAAAATCAAACAAACAGAAGACACACACAACACACCTCTATTCTACACTGTTAAATGCATCTGCTCTGCTCTCGCAAATTATTTTCTGGTTGCTGTGGAGCCACACACACACAATACAAAAACAAAACAAAAGCATGCCAACAAAATATCTTGTATCTGCATATCTCTATGTATCGTATGTATCTCCTGTGCCCGCCCTGCTGGACAGCAAAAAATTATTACCACACAACAGATCATAAAAACAGAAAAATCAAAAACATAGAATGAAAAACCATTTCGTGCCTAGTATTGCAACTGTAATTAACCGATAGTAATTTGCATTTGTCTACCGGTAATAACTAACTCTCTTTACCTAACTCTCCACCCCTCCATAAAAAAGACAATCGGATAACTAACTGCCAATTTGAAAGAATTGCTAACTAATATGTCTTGATGACTTTCCTTGACCCCCTACTTTCTGCAATTTGAAATGTATTGTATTAAATCCAAATTTATCCAACGTACTTCGAAGGTCGATGCCAATCGATAATGATAACGATTATGCAATTGTGCATTCGCGTCCAGGCTCTAGACATTCCACGTTACACGGACAGCGCGCCCATCGGGGACCGCCCAGTAATATATGATCATGTGTCAGAATCAGATCCCAATCGATAAGAACGCGACAATAAAGAACACTAATTCTGTAAGCTAGCCTAAGTATTTCCCATCTCGAACTTGAGTCTCAAATGTACATAACTAAGTGAATATGCTCGCCCTGCAAGTTTTCCAAATTTCTCCAAAAACTATCGTAGTGACGATGCCGCTGTAAAATACTAAACTAAACGTACTAAAGTTCTCTTTGCCTAATTTTAATTCAACCATTTAACATAAGTCATTAGTCTGTCATAAGTGCGAACGAATGTGTATTAGTAAAATGTTTCAACTACTTGTATAAAAAAACAAATGCAGGCCAACAAAATTAATTTAAAATATAAAAACTACAGTATAGTCTAAAATGTTAAGAAACAAACATTTGGCAAATGCGTTAAACGTACGAATTGTAATTAATTTAAATTGTAATCGATTAATTTAATAAAAACTAAAAGGAAACATAGTATTTTATTTTTAATTTGACTGGGCTTTACATAGATAACTATTCCGCAGAGATTTCTGTTTGATATATACTTACAACCATATTTTGAATTTAAAAAATTTAATTCCTTTAAATAGGATATCTAAAAAAAATATTGCTAAATGGAGTTAAATCCCTAAAAAACTATTATGGCAGTCCCTGATGAAATAAAGTGCAACTCATATAACACGAAAGCCTAAAAGTATGCAATATTTTTTGAAAGTTCACTTACATGTGAGGTTTAAACGGAAATGTGTTAAGCTAGGCGCCCACATATGTTCAAAGCGTTATACATTATGTTATGGGTGAACAAATGGATGAAATAAATTTAAAATGTCATTCAGAATTTAGATAATAAAATGTAAAGCGTATTTATAGACTGCCTAATGATTCCTCTGGATGCCGCCTCCCCCTTTTCGACCGATTCCCGCCCTGTGCTCGGCTTATCTGCCCACGGGCTCTCTGGCAACCAGTTTTCCGCTCTTTTCGCTCCCTCTCCGAATATTTCGCACTCGCTTTCAACACAGCTGTACGCTGAGTGCATGATTTTCGCATGACAGTGGCAGTTTCTCAGTTTCAGTTTCACATTGGCGGTCGTTGAGCGCGGAAGTGGCCAAAAAATCTAAGGGCAGAAAACCAAAATCGGGAAATCATAAGAACGCGATTTTTGTTGAATGGCCGCTATATAGTTGTCTGTGTGTGTGTGTGTGTGAATGTTTGTGTAAGAAGTTCGTCGGCAACGACGACGTAAAATAGTGAAGCATAAAGGCCAAGTGAAGAAAATATAAGAACATAAAACCCAAAACAACAACAACGTGCCGGAGTCTCGTTGTGTGTTTGTGTTTGTTTTAGCCCTTCGTCTACCTTGACTGCTACCTGCGAATTTGTTAACTTTATTGCTGTTGCCCCTTGCGTGCCGTGAATTCAAGCAACAACAACATGTTTGAGTAAATGTAAGTGTAAGTGACCATGGCGCGATTTAATAACAGTGCACCGCTGGGAATAACAACTAAAATCAGTTTCAAACGCGTGACGAGCGAATTTAAAATCGATTGCAGGTCCCGAAATTGGCCAACGTCAAATAGTGAAAACAACTCAAATCCACAATGCCCTAAAGCCTTCTAGCATATATACTGTGGATATGATATATGTATCATTCTTGGTGACTCATCCGTTTGGTTTTGCAATTGCAATCTGTACGCAAATTACTTTGGCAACCAAAAGAAAGCTATTAATATACTTCACCGCAGATAACACTATTGTCGAGCGGAACAAATCATAAATCAAAATGATAATACTTTACAAATAATTACTTTAACTTACAAAAGAGTAGTTCAGCAAATCTTTACAATTTCATTCAGAATTTGGTGTAAAATTTCTTGAACCAATTTAATATTCTCAAGTCTTTTAAAACAATGTAAGGATTCAGAAACTGCGAACTACTTCCTTCTTTCGCCCACCTAATTTTCAATTTCTTCCTATAAGAAATGTCTGTAATGCCAAGAATTTTAATAAAATGCAGTGTGCTCTCAGTCGAAAATAATTTAAATTTAGCCACGCGCCTTTCTGGCCCACTGACAGCTCTCGAGAGTCGCCAGCCAAATGTTCGGCAAAAAGTCATTAACCTCGGTCATTTGGATTCGAATGTTGTCGTCAAGCTTGAAACAGTGTAACGAATATTCAATATTATGCTAATGGGAAAGATAATGGCGACCAGTCTGTAAACATGACCGATATATTTGACTTTATAGGTCAACAATGTAGACTTTGAAAGTTTGCTCAGCAAATATTTCGTTCCATAAATGAAGTGCATTATATAAAAGCAAGGGAAAAGGTCAGTTCTCGCGAAGCCAACGCATCGATAAGTTTGCTCAATAAACAATCGTATGCGACAAAGGAAAATCAGCAAAATGACACTGGATTGCATATCACTTCGAGTGCCACTTTGGGTTGATACATTTTTGAAAAGGGTCCGGCTTGGAAGCTACCCTGTAACAAGGACAGGCGGGACAAGCCGCAGCTCTGAGTGTCAAGATTTGAAAACAAAAAACAATAAATAATTATCCACCTTTGTTGCTTTTGGCTGTATCCAATTTATTTACTGCAATCCATTTGTACAGCTGCGGTCAAATTAACAGTTACAAAAATGTTTAAAAAAATGTTCTATATTTTATTTTAATGCAGAACCAATTATTTTTATTTTTTAATTTATTTATTTATTTTTTATTTATAACAAAAAACAAATTAACTTATCTAAAAGAAATGTTGACTTTAGATGAAATATTTCCACTCTATTCCATTCTTTTTAAACGCTTCCCCTTTTTTTTATTTATTCAACATATACATACAACTAATTTTTGTGTCTGCTTCTGTTTACTTGCAAACTTCATTCGTATGTACGATAATTTAGCTTATTTGTTTTATACCCTTATATATCCAGACGAACGTCTCGTTCTTATCGTTTTTTCTTTGTTTACTCAACATTTAAAACGATCTTAGTCGTTTGCTATTTCAGGTCCAAGTAATTACAAGGGAGTGATAAATCAACAGACCTTAGGTATTCTTATTTAAATTAAAATAAAATAATCTCATAAGGTAGTAAACCCTTAAAAGTGATGAGTAACCTTGATTGTCTAATCAAATCTGAACTATGTATAATCCCCGAGCTGCGTCACTCTATTGTTTTTAATGCCAGAAATAAATCAAAATAAATGTATAGAAACATACACAGAAAAAATTTAAAAGATTAATTTAAAATAGCGATGTCATTAAAATTATGACTTGATGTTATAAAAATCTATATTAAATATTTAATTATTCTTTCTATATTTTGGATAGTTTTATGTAAAAAATTGCATATAGTTCTCATTTTTGTAGGTACGCTTACACATATTTTTTTTTTGTGTAAAATTCCTCAGCATACCCAGCGAACCCCTCTAGAGTAAGCAGACCGATAAATGATGTCATGTTCTACACACCAGAAAGGTTGGGATCACATGGCACATTGGCGGATCGGTCTTGGTAATACAATTTGAGCTCAGAGCCGAGTTCGTGGTGTGATTTCTGATCATTAGCTCACCAGTTCGCCGAAATTCTCGCATTTTTTCTCTCTCTTTTATGGCGGAAATTCATCACTATAGTGTATATATACAAGGGAGATAAACAATACTCGAAATAAGGAAAACCTTACTCAATGAGCTCATCTTAGCTTTATTACATAATGTACTTCCCCTTTATATTCCCCGAAATACACAACAGTCACTAGATGGCAATCGATGTTTAACTTTGAGTTTGTTTGTTTGGTTAATTGGTATCTAATCGTTGGAGGCTGACCCCCAGAGACACCTCTCGAAATCAAATGGAGACCGCCTAAACGCTCAAATGCTGACTTTGACATCGCCCACACGCAAAGTTGAGCATTTCTCAGTTCAGAACGTTTTTAGATATATAGTATACATATATACACAAATATCTGAACATGCACCGAGGCTTTTGTGGCATCGACTAAATAAATTGGTGTAATTAATATAATCTGCCTGACGCTGCTGCATTTCTGTTAAATGTTAAATGCATTTCAATTGTTTTCCGCGCAGCAGGTTTCCTTCAGTTTTTTTGTCGCATGTCTAATTGTAAAAAAAATCGATTTTAGAATTTCAAATTGCATTATTGTATTGGTTGCCCATCAGCGATTCCTGGTACTGTTATGAGTAAGTGCCCCTGCTTCCGCTGATATTACATAACCTTTTGCTCTATAAAAAATGTTGTTCTATCTACTTTTCATTTCAGGCTAAAAGTGAAACTTTCATTTTTGACAAACGGCGATGTGCGACACGTGATAAGGCCGTCGAAACAACAATCTTAGCTATCAAAGAGCACTACAAACAAACTTAATTGGAGGTGGAATAAAAACCGGAGAGAACAATGACAATTACGTACACAGGTGAAGTGGCCACTTGTCGCGGCTTTGGCTGTTTTCTTAAATTGCTGCTCAGGTGAGTGTATCTAAGGTCTTATATACTTCACACATATTGAAGTATAGTGCGAAAATGTTAGCTAGTTTGCTAATTATAGAGCATTGACACACTCCGGACAACTGGATGGGATAACCAGCCGAGAAACACAATTGCGGCGAATGCAAATTACAGAACCTTTCCACTTTCCTTCGTATGGTAAACTGCAATTGCCACGAGAATTTCCCCAACCTCCCTCTCTACACGAAACGTGTAATCTAGACCCGTGTTCTCATAACTCTGACATCTGTCATGGCTTGTTGTCTGAATTATAATTTAATAACGTGCAGCCACGCGGGGGTTGAGTTTTTCCCCTACGCATTTTCCTATTTATTTGTTGCTGATATTAAGCTAGGGGTGATGATCTAATTTAGCTGCTGTTGATATCGGTTAATAATGCCTGATATAAGTTATATGTGGTCAAAGGGAATATCCCATCCTGAGTCACTAATTCTCCCCCCTAAACAGGCTCATTAAAAATTTCCTAAAACCAACTATAAAATATTGTTTTTGTTTTGACACAAGTATCACCTTTTCTTGGTTATAAGATATCGTTTGATTGTTCATTATATCACGCATTATTCGGCTGATAAGCTTTATAAATATCGTCTGGACGTCATGTCACGGCAGGCGCACATTTCTGCACACAATGTTTATATTTCGAGGGCTTCAAATATATTTTATGACGTTTCGTGTCAACAACAAGTGGCCAAAATTATCGTCCCATATCTGGGGGCTAAATTCAGCGTGACGTTTCATCCTCAGATACTTGGCCGCTTATTAATAAAGGCGAACATAATCAGGGGAAATTCGAAAGTCAAGTGGGGATTCTGGAATAAAGCTAAAGCAGAAATTATTATTGCCTGATAAGAGCCAGTGTTCAGTGTATGGTGATTAGTTTGACGTGTGCGCTCTATTTATATAGGCTGATGTCGAAGAAATCAAGTGTATAATAACTGGCAATTTTAAATTTTAATATCCCTATTAATTGCTTTCAGATGGCGAGGAAGCATTTACAAGCTGGTCTGGTTGGATCTTCTGGCCTTTCTGACCATTTACTATGCGATCAATATGGTGTATCGTTTTGGCCTCAACCCTACACAAAAAGAGTGAGTATTGGATGAATTAAATAAGTGATCAAAAGATATTTCCCTTTGTTTTTATGTAAAGCTCTATTTTTTACTATCTCCAGTATAAACAATTCCAAAAAAACCAGACGATATATTTATTAAATTCACTTCTTATCTTAAACAAATCTTCGCATGTTATATAAAAGATACATGTTTACTTTTTTTAAAAGGGCAAACAACAGATAAAGCAAAATTACTACATTAAATAAAGTATTTGTACATAAAATTTTTTGGGAAAGTAAAAAGTTTGACCCAAAAAAGCCTAATTACTTTAAAAAACATCTGCAAAATTTGATTTGACGAATTAGTACTTTTCAATCATATCAAAACAAATTTAATAAAATGTGTTAATGAAATTAATTGATTTAACAAATTTACATATAGCTGAAAAAAAAATGTTTTTTATTTATCGGACTATATTTTAATATTGTATTTTTTTCAGAACCTTTGAGGCCATTGTTCAGTACTGTGATAGTTATAGAGAACTCATACCCCTGTCCTTTGTGCTGGGTTTCTATGTATCGATTGTGATGACGCGTTGGTGGAACCAGTACACCTCCATTCCCTGGCCAGATCCCATTGCCGTATTTGTCAGCTCCAATGTTCATGGACAGGACGAACGGGGACGAATGATGAGGCGCACGATTATGCGTTATGTGTGCCTTTGTTTGACCATGGTCCTGGCGAATGTTTCGCCGAGAGTGAAGAAGCGTTTTCCGGGTCTCAGTAATCTGGTGGAAGCGGGTCTGCTCAATGATAATGAAAAGGCCATCATCGAGACGATGAACAAGGCCTTTCCCAGACCCTCGAAGCACTGGCTGCCAATAGTTTGGGCGGCTAGTATTATTACTAGAGCGAGAAAGGAGGGACGCATTCGTGATGACTTTGCTGTGAAGACTATCATCGACGAACTGAACAAATTCCGGGGTCAGTGTGGTCTCCTCATCAGCTACGATACGATCAGTGTACCCCTGGTTTACACACAAGTGGTGACCCTCGCGGTCTACTCGTACTTCCTTACCTGCTGCATGGGTCAGCAATGGACAGATGGAAAGATGGTGGGCAATACCACGTACCAGAACAAGGTGGACCTGTACTTTCCTGTCTTCACAACGCTGCAGTTCTTCTTCTACATGGGATGGCTCAAGGTGGCCGAGTCACTTATCAATCCTTTCGGCGAGGACGATGATGATTTTGAGGTTAATAAGATGAAATATAAGTTTTTCACGGAATACTAATAAAGTATATTAAACAGGTCAACTGGATGGTGGATCGCAATCTGCAGGTTTCCTATCTGATCGTCGACGAGATGCATCATGACCATCCTGAGCTGCTGAAGGATCAGTATTGGGACGAGGTGTTCCCCAACGAGCTGCCCTACACAATAGCTGCCGAGAGATTCCGGGAGAATCACCCAGAACCGTCCACTGCCAAGATCGAGGTGCCCAAGAATGCGGCCATGCCCTCGACCATGTCGTCTGTGCGCATCGATGAAATGGTTGGTAATACTAGTGGTGACCCCGCCGTCGCGGATACGAAGCTCACGGTCCCGGGTTCGGGTCCGGGTCAGGCACAGAATCCTGTTCCTGCTCCTGTTCCGGAATCCGGCGTCCAGTCCGTTACTTATGACTTTCCCAAGGGCTCGCCAGATGAGGAGGTTAGAATCAGAACGTTGGCCGCATTCCCTAGCGTTACGAAGCATTGGCACCTGCCTATCGATTGGCTAACCAAATTCATCATCTATCGTCTTGCGATCTGATCCAAGTCCAAACTAAATCCAAATCAAAATCAAAAGTTTCTAACCTCTTTTTCTTGTTTTACACGAAGAAACCTTGTAATTGTGGGATCACAGATCGCTCATTGGCATTCTGAATCACAGCGGTGCTTGGTATATATATATAAACCTAATCTAGATGTACAGAGTGTGTATAACTATATGGAGCGGGCACAGTAAAAACTCAAATAATTGTTGAAATTGTTACTTGATAAGCCTTACTAATAACCTATCTATTTATTGGTAATCTATAAAGCTATACTTCCTTAAGATGCACATAACGATCTATTCTTTTTATTTTATTATTAAAACTATCTCTAACAAGTTATTGGCAAATTTTATTTTATATTATTTTAAATCACCTAAACATCATATATATTAACGTATGAACAATGTATTCTGGTTCAACTATTTTTATTTGTATTTTTTTAATACTTTCCAATCATTTGTAATTAATTTACTTTGAGTATTGTATACTGTGCCTGACTCCCGTCTAACCATAATTTAAGAAAGGTGTTTGTGTCTCTATATGCTTTACGAATGTGAATACTAACTTTTGATTCTAATTGTCTAAAGATCTGTCTACAGCCTAAAGCCTTCTAACAGCACCTCGCACTGCACGATTTTCAAATGCTTTCTGCTGCACTGACAAAAAAGAGCACTCAATGGTACAAAGTAATCCGGGCACAGCGGAACTAAAAAGCACTCTATCATACAATAAGTGAATATATAAAACTAATATATAATTTATTTCTCCTAACCCAGGCTGATGATGCCAGTGGCATACACTTCTCAGCTGGCAATGGCAAAATGCGCCTGGGTTCTTCGCCTTCGCTTGTGAGCGTTTCGGGCACTTTATCCCGGGTGAACACGGTGGCCTCGGCCCTCAAACGCTTCCTGAGTCGCGATGACAGCAGGCCGGGATCGGCCACACCCAGTCAGGATCAGCCCTACAAGTTCCCAGCCAGCGCCAGTTCGGCGAGTCTCTCGGGTGGAATTGTGGGACCGGCTACGTCGGCAGGAAAACCAGCTGGAAGTCTGAGGATCACGCAGCAAGTCATCGAGGAGGTGGATGAGCAGGCCACCATCACATCCATGCGGGCCAATGAACCGCGGCCCAACGTGATGGACATCTTTGCATCGCCGTCGGGAGCAGCGAATTCGGTGCCGCTCCAGCCACCACCCGCCCAATCGGATCCGGTGGACATACCGACTCGTCCCCCATCCTACAATCGCGCCCAGTCCCAGTACGAGTCCAGTCTCTTCCCGCCGGGCGGAGTGGATGCCCTGCTCAGTACTTCGGCGCCAGCGGGAGGCAGTCCACTGCTCCTGTCCAATGCAGCCACTGCACCCAGTTCCCCGGTGGGTGAGAGCTCCAAGTCCCTGTACGATCCCCAAAAGGCCGCCAGCCGGGAGACGGGTAAGTCACAGATTACTGGCCATCCGGTTAGCGGAGGTGTTAGACTGCCCAACCGCTTCTTAAACTCATTTTTAACATTTGTGTATCTTCATTTTCAACAAATTCGGGAATTATTAAAGAGAGGCCCGATGCACCGCAGGTTTTCAGGTGGTTCGTCACGCCCGGTAAAGTTCACATCCATTGGCCATTTTAACTTGTTCGAATTATTTAGCTTGCTCTTCTACGTAATCGTTGCTGGTTTCTCCCGTTTCAATGTTATTTTGTTAATTTTATTTTTGTAACAGGTGTGCTCCCATTTTCACAATCCATTTGGTTTACAAATTAAAAAGTTCCCAATATAAACATTAATTCCACTTTGCAAAAATGATGTCATTTCTTGTATTTTAAATTAATGATTCAGGCCTATGTTTTATCTTTACAAATATTAAGTATATTCGTATTTATAATATTTGTAAATCATGTTTGTTTTTATTATCTTATACTTATAACAAAATACTTTCATTTTAATTGGTAGAAAATATTCTTTATATAAAAAATAACTTAAAACCTAAGAAAAAACTACTACAAATGCAAGCGCACCTGAGTATATTTTTATTTTATATAGTTTTTACCTAATCCCTTAAACAATTGGCATGTGTTAATTGAAGGCAATGCCCATTTGCTGAGTACTAACCCCCGCTTAGCTCTTTAAAATTGTACTACGTAAGACCACAGAAAAGGATTTGGGCTGGTCAAGTAGGTAGTTAAAACCCCGTAACTCCAACTTCATATTGGTACCCGCCTAGCATTTAGACGTTGCACGTTGCGTATTATTCCATTGATTTCCCGACCAATAAATATATTTCACTGACACTTACCATTTGTGCTTGCAGTGGAGAACATGGACCTGAGGTCCTCCAGCGATCTTCTGGCTGCGCAGCCCGTGGACGAGGGTGATGATTTCGATAAGCTGAAGGCAGAGCGCGAGAAAGAGAAACTGATGCGCCAGCAGAAGAATCTGGCCCGAACCATCAGCACCGCTCCGGGAATGGAAGCCACGGCTGTGCCGCTGGTGCCAATTGTCCCAGTTAATGTGGCAGTGCCCCAAGCCCAACTGCCAGCGGTGGCATCCAGTGCCGATCTTCTGGTCGGCGGAGAAGTCCTGTCCAATTCGACGATGAAGTCAGAGGACGCCGTCAACGGAAGTTGAAGGAGACCTAGTATTTTGTTTCGTACACTTACTTAGATTAAGTTTAGAGCATTATTTAATTTACCTAAGCTGCTAAGCTAATTTACCTATACAATACGTATGAATGTGCCGCTGACATTGAAACAACGCAGAGTTACGGACACTTTAAGAATGCTCATAACGTCTAAACGAGCTCGAGTGATGAAGGACCTAATTAACGCAGTTAATAACACAATTACTAATATCTAAGTAGAACGTTTTTGAATTTTACAAATATAAGTTATTTTGTAAATGGTTCACATTCTGTTTTTGATTTTGTATTTGGGCATGCGCTGGGTTTTTAAAAACTTAAAATGAAAAGCGGCTTAAAAAATGAAACTTAAGAGATTTGAAAAAGCTTTGCAAACCATTTATCTAGCATCAAAATATTTCCTACTTGGTGGAATCTCTAAGACACTACATAATTTTAAATAAACATCTATTAAATTTAAAATTTTATATGTTGTATATTTAAATAAAAACCTAAACAGAATAAAAGACTTAATAAACTGAAATAAATTGGTTTTCTTTTTTACATAAATGTATAAAGTTTAGCTTTCATTTTGGTCATTCCAGTAATGCAATTTTTGAAGAAGAATATGAGGTAAAAACAAACTAATAACTTTGTTAATTACAAATATCATAAATATAAAAATAATAAATCGAAACACACAAATTTGTCTTTACCTTGCTTCATTTCTTAAAATTCCGTTACGGAACCATAAGGTTCTGAACTGGAACCAATCAAAATCCGCAGCCCTGGTTGGTTGTGCAGTCGCCAGCCCTTGTAATTCGGCAAAGACAGGACTGACTATCAAAACAAAACAAAAGTATTTTTAAATTCGAAAATGTCGAGTGTTCTCGCAGGAACAGAAGCCGGTAATGGAAATCCAACGACTTGGCATCGATGGTGTCGACTGTGCGCCAAGGATCATCCGATGAACCGGAGTGTGTTCTCCAGGGAGGACAGACAGAACTCCTGGACGAGCATGCTGGCAATGACCATTGGCAAATACTTTTGGGTGGATGTAATTATTATTTATTAATTTATCCTTTCCATAACACTTAAGTAAGGTATACCTTTCAGATTAAAAGGGAGGACGAGCACAGCAATTATCTGTGCGACGAATGTTTCACTTTGATGGATTGCCTCATAGAATTCTCGGAAAGGGTACGCAAGGTACAAACCCTTTTCAACAGATTGCAGACCTTAAAGCCGGATATTATGGTTGATTTTGAGAAGATACGAGCGGATTGTGGCTTGGTCACCGATGAATGGAAACATATGATGTCCAGGGCAGTAGAACTGCCGCCTCTTCCGAAGCAGGAAGAATTTGTTGATGTGGATCAAGAAATCGCTGGGGAACCAAACGATGAAATTCTGTTGAGACCCAGTTTAGAAGTGGAACAGCATTTTGATCAGAAACAGGAATTGGGTGATGAGGAGGTACAAATCGCTGGACAAGAACTGCAAATCACTGAAATAGAAGAGGGAATCATGGAGGACGGTGAGAACCTGGCAGAGGAAGAGGTTGAAACTGTAGAGGAGGAGGTCGAACCCCACGAAACCTCTGATTGCTTAGTGGAGGAAGAACTTATCCCTGATGAAGACTATATCGAGGAGTCGGAAATAATAGAAGAAAGCCAAGTTGAAGACTTCCACATCGAAACTTACGAAGTTATTTCCCATAAACCACAAGCAGAACCCACAAAAAACATCGAGGAATCCATGGAGTCCGAAGACGATCCCCAGGTGTCGCATATAATAGAAGAAACCCAAGTTCAAGACTTCCACATCGAAACCTACGAAGTTATTTCGCAAAAATCACAAGCAGAACCCGCAAAAACAGAGGACATCGATGGATCCATGGAGTCCGATGAAGATCGCTCTCCAGAGCATCTTATAGAGGATGAGGTTGAAATTCCGGAGGAACCAGCCATCTACAAATGCAGCATTTGCAATAAACCGTATAAGAAACCCAAAGCCTACAAGCGACACATGGAAGAGGTTCACAACACCGTGCCGAAGGACTTACCCCAGTTAGAATGCAACCAGTGTGGACTCTCTTTCTCCTCGGTTTCCCAACTGCACGCCCACTATCGCTCCCATTTGCCCGCCAAAGTAAAGCCAGATAACTCCTGTCCCCACTGCGAAAAAGTTTTTACCACCCCAGGAACACTCAAGCGACACATTGATGGGGTCCACAAGCAGATCAAGCCCTATGTCTGCGACCTCTGCGGCAAGAGCTTTAACTATATTACTGGATTAAAAGATCACAAACTGGTACACACCGAAGAGTGTCCCTTTGAGTGTCCCGTGTGCAAGCGACGCTTTAAAAACAAGGCAAGATTAAAGGTAACACCCAATACACCGATTTTGATCTGATTATAATCCTTTGCTTACTGAATACCCAATCCCTTTTCAGATTCATTCGGATACGCACAGTGAACAAAACTATGAGTGTACCATATGCGGCGTAAAACTTAAGACCCGTCGCACCTTTAACAAGCACAAATTGGTGCACTCGGATGAACGGCTGTATAAATGTGATGTCTGTGGATCGGCGTTCAAGCGAAGCAAGACACTTAAGGCGCATCTTATCCTGCACACCGGCATCCGGCCGTATAAGTGCAACTTTTGCGGAAGAGACTTCACCAACGGCTCCAATTGTAGATCGCACAAGCGCCAGTCGCATCCCAAGGAACTGGCCGAGGAGGAATCTCGCGGGGTGTCCCGTTCCACTCTACTTCCCATGCTGGAAGAACTGACCAAGGCGTAAGTTTAAGCCTCAGAATATATTTAATATAGTTATAAACTATTAAACTCCTTTCCAGGTCCAAGCTCATAAAAACACCCGCAAAGCCCAGCAAAACGAAAGGGAGTAGGCCGAAAGTTTCGCCTAAAAAGCCAGAATGTACACCTGAAACTACCACCAAGGACACCGATGGTGCCATCCTCTACGAACTCGTCGAGGAGCTTGATTACTCCTAAGTATTGCAATAAACTTTATTTAAAAACAGTTTTAAAACTTGCGATTACAAGGGTCTCTTGGTTTATTCACAATTCAAGTTTAGGTGCTTAGAACCTAGATTACAAATCGAGGGTTGAGTTTACAAATCTTAAATGCTTGATAGGCAGCTGAATTAGAGAAACATATTGAACTTAGGCGAAACTAATCGAATAGATAAATCACAAGGCAATAAACGAATTTTGAAAACCATATTCATAATAAATAACAAAGAATTTAACAACGCAAGTGGAACTGCCAAATGCCTCCGTTCCGAATATCAAATATTGTTTGCAATAGGCTTTGGAATGTACAGATCAGTATTTAAGAAAAATAGAACTGTCTTCGGAGACTCCACGTCGAAGTGAAGAGAAAATCCGAATACATACTTAAAAAAGATCACATTTTCTGATGGACAAAATATAATTACGCTTAAAAATCTATATATTTGCTAGGATGGGTCAATTTGTGCGAATGAGCAAAGATAAAAAACTAAAGATACAAAAAGTAATATAAGGACAATATTTGGGGATTTAGCTATCCAATATTTGAGCACTATTTTTTAACACTAAGAGAATAAAGGAGAAAACATTTAAATACTTTGAAAACGTTCTATAGGTCTGATGAAATAGTTCAAAATTGTCCAAACACTACATTCGCATCTAAATTTCTTTGCAAAAAATTGACCCACTCAAATGTTCGGAGTATTACACTTACATACAATCGGCCTACTTTTAGATAATTTGAGCTTATATCATACAGCTAAAATGTACAAATTTCACTAAATACATATAAAGCAAGTAAAACTGCACCCTGCATCTTGGCAAGCCTAACTTAATCCCCACCGCAAGACGAAATGCAGGAGAGCAGCGGTGATTATGGCCACGGAACGTGAGACCTCGCTGCCCGCTCCACAAGCGAGGTTGTCGCGCGGGTACTTGTTGAGCGGGTCTGCCTCCTCGCCCGGACGACACTGTTTACCCTGGGCGGCGAACTGGGATCCGCACAGTTCGTGGCACGATGGACACATGATCGCCCCCTTGTGCAGCCATCCGTTAGCCTCGATTCGAATGGAAAGCTTCTGTCCGGGAAAGGAGCACTTGTAGCTGTAGTTTCCCACCAGGATGTGTAGCCGCCCATCAAAGCAGTCGTACTTGTAGCACCCACTGCCCCAGTGCTGCCACTCGCGAGTCTGTTGGCAGGATCGCTCCTCCCACATGGACTCGCTGTGATCGAAGCACTTGGCTCCCTCGCCATAGCTCTCCAATGCAAAGTTCTTCTCAGGCTCTGGAAGGTGATATCAAAAACAGAGAGTTAGAAAGTGGATCCATGAGGTTAAAGAAGCTTCTTTTACTTGGATTATTCTCCGTAAAGCGACAGTGGGATCCCCGCACTATCACATTCTTGCTGCGCCAAGTAAACTCCTGAATGTAAGGACAGTGGTCCGCTAGCGAGACGGATCCCCCGTAGAATCCTTCTTCCCCATCCTTTACATGGTTCAGGCTGTCGAAGTTTTGATAGCTCTTGGGCAGCTCGAAATCGTGTCGGATGAGATTGCACAACGCCACCGAGTTGCGATCGTCCGTGCACTCGGTTTGAAGTGGATCCTGCTTGACCTTCGAGCAGAATGGATGTATGGAGCGACCCCTTTAAAAATCGAACAAATGATAAGCAAAAATAAAATTAATTCCACATGCAAATTCTAAAGCAATATGCGTCAGCCAGAACAAAAAAATAGGTAAGTGCAGTGATCATATATTTTTAATTCTGTATATAAGAGATCGCTTAGTTTGTTTACCTGGCATGGTTCAACTGAATCCAATCTTTGCAGCTGCGCATGGCAAACGCACATCCCAGCCCCTTTCCCCAAGTGAGAGGCGTGGCCATGGAGTAGTTGGCTCGATACCAGCCGGAGTCCTCCATCAGGGCAAGTGTGATGCGCGAGAAGACTGGCGACTGTGTGTGCGTGCCAGTCATGGCCTCGTTTTCGAGAATGCGTTTTTCCCAGTGGGTCAGGGCGGTGCCCTCGCCGCCCTGATCCTCCAGCTCGGCGCCCTCCAGCTTATTGCAGTTGAAGTGGGCGCGGACCTCCGCAGTTACGCGCGGAGTGACCATCATGTCCAAAACCTTTTTGACATGGCCACCACGCACAGACCAGTTCTCTCGCACCACCTTGCGGATGGTCTCGTTGCTCCACTGATGGATCTGCAATCTGAGAGGGGATTTGTGGGTTAAAGTAAAACTTAAAATAAATGTTTTGATTGCATACTTTTCATTCAGGTACGGCTTGCCAGTATCCAACTTTCGCGGAGTCCGGGGTTTCCCTTCGTCGTCCCTGAAGAATGCGTACAGACTTACGGAGAATCCCAGCGCATGCAGGATCTCGTGCTTTACGGTGGAGATCAACGTCTGCAGCTCCTGCGGCTTGGTGCTAATGCTCTCCGGGCAGAGATTGGCATGTCCGGCGATCGGACGGTCCAGAGCCGCCTCCTGCTGACAATGGGCCGCATAGGCCACCGTCAGGCCCTTGAAGCAACGTTGGGTTTGTCTAGCAGACACGTAGAACACAAAGTCCGCGTTCTCGATTCCATCTCCTGGCTGAGTATTACTATCGACTCGACAGTTCTGGCCGGTGGCATTGCAGACGCGACAGACCTGAGAATTTCGGCTTATAAATATAAAATTGTGCAAGAATGTGATCCGAATATAGTATTCTAATTGCTGCGTAGATACTTTATAAGTATTTTAAAATTTGTATATCATTTAATCCATAACAATTTGCAAAGTTTTGTTTTGTAAGCGTCCAATTATTTAAGAGACCCGGTGATCAAAGTTGCAATTGCTCATGCGTTGCCTAAACCAGTTTTGAATTTTACGAATATGTATTTCGTGTAGGTGCATTTATTTCACTCAAGGTTTTTCTTTAAAACACACCGTATCAAACCAACTTGATGTGGCTACAATTTTCACAACAATTTTGCTTAGGGTGAACTTGAACAAGGTTCGTGGAAAACTTTGGAAAGGATACTTACATCCAAGTGCTCGTTGGGCACCTGGACCTCGCCGCACATGGTCGTCGCCTTGCAGTGGTCGATGCAGTGGGTGTGGCCATTCTTTACGTACACCTGTGTGCTGTCGCATTTCCTGAGAACCCAGTACTGAATATTTTAGACAATTTGCGGTTTTCTTTAAGAGCAAACTTACCTATTGAGGCGAATGACGCCTTTGGTCTCACGCACCATCAGTGCCTGTTCCCAGAACTGTACGGCCTCCGGGAGCACGGTGTCCTGGCAAGGGTTAAAAGGAAACCTTAAGCTTGGAGACCAAGAAAATCAGAAATGTCAACTCACATTTATCAAATTAAATTTCTCCTCTTCCAACCTGGCGGGCGGTAAGCATGAAACAACAAGAAAATAGTTTTGTTTATTAACATTTCTGGGAAAATGAACAGGGTGGTGTTTTGTTTATTGGCATCTCTTTATATCCGCAACATCCAAAGATGTGGTTGTCGCTAAGGCGATTTTATTAGGATAAAGGTGTTTCTGAGAAATCTGAGAAGCCAATTTTGTTTTGTTGATATAAAAGACAGGAATGCTTTAATAAAAAGGGTTAAGTGTTGTGTATTTGGTGTCGGTAATAAAGCTTGTTATATAAGTCGAATTGCAGAATGTGGTTTCTGTGGAAACACTTATTTAATACCTGAAAATGACTGAGATACTAAATTGTATTTTGAGCTTACAAATTCTGTGACTTTAGATGAATTCAATTAAATATTTACAGGTTGTGTTAGCTTTCAAAAATTTACTTAATTTCCATAATTTCAGATTTAAAATAAAGACAATAATCCGATTAGTTTGAATAAACTGATATATTAAATAATTATGTATTAAGCTTCAAATCAATTATACCAAATACCTTAAATTGGCAAAAGCTTGAAATCGATTAGTAACAGCGAATTCCCCAACGAAAGCACTTTTACACGAAGGTCAACTGCCTGATACTCAAACCAGGTAATTGTGTACCTGTTAGCACCTGTTTGAGTCACTTATTCACGACTGAATAATTCATTGAATCGAAACCGAAGCCCAAAATTAAAGCCAAGTCGAGTCAACTCTCCGCTTTCCTGCTGACCTTGTCCGCTGCCATTGCTCGCCAATCGATCGGGCGGATCGATCCGGACCAACTGTCTGTCAGCCGATCTGGCCAGTTCCAGTGACCATTTGACCATGTGGATGGAGCAATCGATGGCCAACCTTAGGAGACACCTCGGCCCACTGCGTTGATTTGGGCAAATTGCGCACACATGGCCAACCGATTCGGGCCCGAACTATATGTATGTATATTGTTACCCAACCCAGAGCGGCCGTAACGGTGCATGGCCAAAGCAAAACGGTCGGAAGAGTGAGTTGTTTACTCGCTTTTGCGCGGCTTTATGTTAACTTGACATTCGGCCAAGTCAAATTGTAAACTGTTTTTCTGTCTGCTTGGCTGGCTGCCATTAAAGTGCAATTAAAGCCAATTTTCAGAGCTGGAGCACAGATTTACACTTGAAAAAATACATTTTTTCAGACTTCGACGATATTTCGGTCTTTTAAATGACTCAGTTAAAAATTCACGTTATAAGTATTTTTTGTGTGCACATTTTAAATTTATAAATTTTTTCATTGTGCTGTGTAAGTATATTACATCATTACAAGTGTTTGAAATCATGTCTACACAAAAATCTTGAAATAAATGTAATTACTTGTAAATAGGCAACACTGCGGATGAGTGATAACTATATACATTTTTAAAAGCAGTTGCATACACTATATAAAAGCAAATTATATTTACATACTAAATTTATTGGGAAATATATAACAAATTATATCTATGTTTAAGCTGATTTGCACATTTTATTGGTAAGATATGAATATTTTTCGAAAACAAAACTTTGTGATTAAATTTGGCTTTTGTGATATAAAAAAATTTTAACTAACAAAGAGCAAATATTGTTTTACAGTTTAATTTTATATGTTAAGAGTTCTGAGAAAATGATAAGCGACCAACTTAAAATTCTAAAAGAAATGTAGCTAAAACTAAGTGTCTTAAACAATTAATTTGTAAGACATTAAGATTTAAGTTTACAGTTTTCCAGAGTGTACCTGGCGCTCACCTGTAGACGGAGTCGTCGTAGACGAGCAGAATTCGCAGCGGCTGGTCGGCGGCAACGCTGCGCCGGCGCACGCTATGCCTGGCTGCCTCTCCGGCGGAGTCATCTTCGCTATCAGCCAGTTGGATGCGCACGCCATGGACGACCTATAAAACGAAAGATGGATGGATGATGAGGCCGATGGATAGTAGATCGCGATAGAGCCGGAAAGTAAGGGAAAGGAAAGGAAAGGGAGAGCGAACGGAGACGAAGATATCAAGAAATCACTCAGCGGAGCTTAAACGAAAGCGAAATTTCGTTGTTAACTATTAAATGACGACATGTAGTCAGACAAAGGCCACACAAAAAGGCAGTTCCACGACGGTAATTGGTCTGCGCAAATTGCAGGGAAATTAATTTTAAATTGCCCGCCAAAATGTCGAACGATTGGCACATCGAAATGTCAATGATTTGTGGGGCTGGTTATTTTATTTTGGGTTTTATTTAGCCCCGTTATTTCGGCTCTGCCATTGTTTCGTTATTATTGTGCTCTGCGGTCGCATTGTGCAATCTGTGCCAATTATTAGGAATAAATTAGATGTCTTAGTTGAATATGTATGGCGGTCTTTATACGCAGATAATCCGCTGACAGACAGACAAAGCACTTGACACTCATCAGCATAAATTGTCGCCGACATCTGGGAGATGCGCTTGAGTGCGACTAAAAAAATATGCTCATCAAATATGTACATTTGTGTATGCTGAAAGCCGCCTGTCCGGAAAGCGGTCTTAAAAGGTTCTTGCTACTCAAGAAGTCTCCGGGGAGTGGGGCATAAAACGAAAGTATCTTTGCTGTCATCAAAGAGTGTCTATCATATATGAAAGAAAAGCCAGTCAGACGGAGTGAAAGGCAGCAAACAGCGACGACGACGCAGCCAATTGAAATTATAATAATAAAGTTAATTTCCACTCTAGAAATGAATTGGCAGACAGCTTAGCAGCCTTAATTAATAGAGCAGCATGTGTCCCCCATCGTGGGAAGTGATTCGCTAGGTGTTCTCACTGCCCAAGTGTGGGTCGTAACTGCCATTAAATGGCAAAGTTAGACACCTGCACGAACCCGTAGAAAAAAACATTCCTATTTATCCAAGAACAACAATAGTTGTGGCAATCGCGATCCGACAAAAGAGTTTGGCATTGAAATGAGCTGAGCAAACAGTGGTGTGGTTCCGCTGAAGTGGCGCAGGGTTCGACTCGATCTCGGGATTTATCTTGCAGCCATCAAAGTCATCGAAGCTCTAATGACTGAGGATCAGCCAGCAACGTGACAATATCTGTTTGTCATTGTTTCGTTAACTTTTTTTAAAAAATCATTGTTTACTAAAAATATTAATTGAGCTTACAATTTCAAGAACCTAACTAAAATAATATTAATTGTAATGAAAACTGAGAGCTGCATTTTGTATTTTAAAGAGATTTACAAACTAACGAATATTAGAATTTAAGAGTTAAGAAACATTTTATCTTAAAGTAAAATTGAGTCGTTCTATGGGTTTTCAACTGATTCTTGACTTAAATCTTCTAAAACACAAAAATGAAATATGTACTGTTACTAAAAGAGTTTGTTAAACTTTTAATACTCATTAGACTATTCGTCACGTGCATGAAGATTGATGTGCTATATCATCCACGAAATCAATCCCTCAAAGGGAACGCCCTGCAATGTTTAGATACGAAAAGTAACCATAAACCATCAAAGATATAAATCTTTAAAGCCGGCAATAATCGTGACAACGACCCTCGAAAAAAATAACTAACATAATGTACGATCTTCACATTGATCGTGCCCAGCTGGGAGCATTATCCCCCAAAGCCCCTAAGTTGCTGCGGTCGAGTGCATTGAAAAAGCATTTGAAAAACCGCACAAATTACAAATCATCTGCGAAACGTTTGGCAGGTGAAAGATGATGACGCACAAAACCATTTGGACGGGCAGCTCGATGCTTTTGCTGTCATCAGAGGGGAGTGGATTTAAATGGAGGGGGAAAAGGAGTTATGGCGGTGTCAATATCTGTGGGGCATTAATGCAACCCAAATGCATTGTGATGCGAACAGTTAACAGTTGAATGACAGCATTCATTAATGGACAAGATGTTTTTATAATGAACCACTTTACCCACATTTATATTTATGTACAATGAAGCACTGCTGGTGACGAAAATATAATTTATTGATTTAAGCGATCTGAAGCACAATATGATTCAAATTAAAGACAGACTTTTTAATTTTATATCTTCATTTTATTATTATTTATTATTGGAAACATTATATTATTATTATATATAAACTAATCAATTTGGAAATATTCATACTTATCATAACGATAAAATCAGGCTAATGCCATTAACCATTACTGATAATTAAAAAGAAATCAAGTAGGTAACTATTATGGATTACTGAGCAACAAAGTGTCAGTGTAAGGCCATAGAATGATCACAGCACAAGTTATTTATTTGTTTTTACTTTTTATAAATAACTTTTGTTATATTCAAGTGAGTATATTTTTCAATTTCTAAGAAATTGAAGAGTAAAAGTTTATCCAATGCCTAGGGATCCTACAAGTTTAATTCACTAACTTGCGAACTTCTTGCTCCAGAATTTGGTTATGTTAAGGAGTGTCAGATCAAGGCAATCGATCGAAAGCACAACATGATGAACATTGAAGCGGTTCTAAATAAGACTATATCAGAGGTAAATTTGAAACCGAAACCATAACAACTAATAGTAATTAAATGGAATATCTCCCGTAGTTTGAAATCCATTTTAAGCTCGTTAAACGCGAAATTGGCGGTTGGCATCCTTTTTTGTACGATATAAGAATGGATATTTGCCAATTTTTTAAAAACCGAAGGAAGTTTTTTATACCAAATGTAATATATTCCTTTTTACAATCATTTACAAATGTTAATCACACTTGTCCATACTTGGTAAGCCTGGCGATGACAATACCATGGAATATTAAATGAATTCCGTCCATTTCCTAAAAGGCTGGGACAGAGATGCGACTGTGGAACTGGAGTCCGGAAGAAGATGGAGTGTTATCCAAATTTCCAGTAGACCATGGTCAGTATGGGTTACATACAACCTGGTACGTCAACAAAGTCGCAGCACTCAAAATAAATGGGTCTGTTTTATTTTTTAAGTGATATTTACCCATTAAATAGTCAATATGTTATAAGTTGTCGTTAAAAATAATTTTAAAAAATGTTCCTATCTAATAAACTTTGTATTAAAGGTGTTGGGCACTATCTATAAAAGTTATTTGCAATTACCAAATGTAATAAAAATATGACAAATTTATTTGTTTACTACCTTTCGGAGATCCAGTTACTTTTTCTGTATAAGAAATTCTACTAGGTGATGTCATAATCAATACTCAGACATGATCTATTTTACCATATTTTTTGGCCACACTTTCTAAGCGTCCCAGGTATGCACATGTGCTTATTCAATCGGTGATAAGACGTAATGCCCAACCGGCTTGCATACTAACACAGATATTCGAGTGGCAAACAAATTTTTGTTCGGTTTGTGGGCCACATTCGAGCGTGTCCAGCTTTGGCCATGCGACTCACGTTTAAGGCAGAAATGGTAACAACTCAAAAGAAAGAAAAAACGAAGCCCGGCAAAGAAAAGCAAAATGAAATTTTCGTTTTGGCCACAGTTGGCTGCGCCTGCGCCCGCCTGATTACCTCCCGTATTTACTTTTAGAGCCAAACAAATAAAAGGTGGCTAAAAAAAAAAAGCTGTCATAAATGGCCAACTGCAAGCCACGCACGTTTGTTTAAGCGAATTGAGGGGAGATTTGGCTGGAGATCGGGATTACGAAGCGCCAACGCGGTTTGTCCAGTTGCGCATGCTAATTTGGGCGCGGGAATCGATCATCGATGGTGGTTGAGTAATTATTTACGTCTGTCTCTGGCTCGGAGGCAGTCACTCTGTCTGCCAATCGCCAACCAATCCGTAACTGACAGCATTTCTTCGTCTTCATCTCGCCCGTTTACACTCTCTTCCGCACAACATGTTGCAGAGGTAAAAAGTATTTAACAGCGAAAATTAAAAAAATCATTAGCCAAGATGGTAAAATCGGATGGGAAATCCATAAAAATGAAATTAAAAAAATATATTTTGGGATATCAAATGTTTGTTAATGTAAGGTTGATTTATAAATCAATTTTAATTAAAAATCAACTAAAAGATTTCCATTTCAATTTTAATAAACATCAACTTTGCTAAGATTAATAAAACAAATCAATCAAACACTATGGAATCAAATTAAGTTATTCACTGTTAATAAATATTCATGTTGTTACTAAATCAAAACATCAATAAAATTTCCATAAATGTCATGATGTGTTTTTGTTCCCCTTTTCAATACCCTAATTCGAAGATTGCGAATTTTAGGGAAAAAAAGTCAATGCTTATTAATATTCATGAATAAATAAAAAAACAATACAATATTCATAAAAGATACACTGTGCTTATATTAAATAATATAATCAACCCTGATCCCTAGTTTATTAACCTAATTTCTGCATTGCCAGTCAAGGACACATTTAATATTTACAGATTAAATTCAACTAAGTGAAAAACTAATGAAATATGTATTTTAAGAATAAGCACTGTGTAGGTAATAACCCCCCTTTTTTCACTTATTTGCTCCAGTGTAATTTTCCGCTGACTGTCACCTGCGTTCAACGCTCGCTCAAGTTCGGCAGATCAATCGAAGTCGCGGCTTTCAATTGAGCGTTTGTATATGGGCTTTCACTTTCGTTTGGCCACCACTCTCACTCTTGGATTCTCTCGAGCAGTTTCGCTCTTTTTCAGCTTACCAATTTTTATTTTTGTATAATATTTTGTGAGCCGCGTTTTGCCGATGGCTACTTTGCATGCTGTGCCACTTGGTTGGCTCTTTCGCCTTGCTCTTGTTTCGGTCCCTCTTTGTCTGACTCATCTGTTCGCCGACTGCTGATTATTTTTACTCAATTCGTTCGTTACCTCACAGTTTGACCGCAAAAAAAAGCTGTGTGTTACTTAATTGAAATTATGAACTGCAGCTAATCTAAGGCACTTTAGCACCAGCTGAACGCCCCGGATCAGCAGCTATTCAAGTGGCACAATTTACGCTGTAAACTCAAATAAATTGGATGAGTTCTGGTCGGGATGATAGTCCAGCCAATTGAATAATTGCATTAACCGACACTTAAAGTTCCATGAAATCGCTGGTTGCTTTTTCAATAAATTAAGTGTAAAATTCCAGTGAATTTCTCTTAAACAGCTGAAAGTTGTTTATTATCATATTCTATTTTGCATTTTTTGTCAGGTGCAATCTGTACAATGCACATTGTGAGGCAAAATAATTAACATTAAAGTGCAGTAAAATTAATTGAATGGAATTATAAGTTAATTAGTTAGTACAGATAAAATATTAAATAAATTAAAATTTGCATTTACTTATTTCGAGAGGGTTCTTTAATAATTTAAATCAATTTTATATCAAAGCATGATAAATAAATATAAATATACATTTATTTATATTATTATATTATTAATGGTGCATCATGTTTAAATTCAATCAATTATTAGGACTTTTTAAATCCATAACAATTATTGACAGTCCACTCATTTGTGAATTACATAGACAAATAGACACCACCGGATAAATTGTGTGAAATTAGTAGTGCGTTCACATACTTTAGTACATTAAAGGGATATAAATAATCTATTGTAAGCGCATTAAAGCCCAAATAATAATTAAATTCTGAGCCCTGATTTAATGTAGATGTAAACGTGGCGCCAAGTTTGCTTTGCTTGAATCAGTACGACAATACCTAATTAGTGTGCGATTCAATTAAGGGCACGTTCTCCATGGAAATCGAGAAATGGCACGTTGTGCTACCGAAACCCAGCATGAATACAAGCGAAATTTAATGCCTGTTTGCAAATGCAGATGACAGAAATTGAAGCGAAATGCAGTCTCTTAAAGGGGAATTATACAAGGACCTTGTCCATCAATTTCGCCCAAGGCGATTTACTTTGCACATGAATCTCTTTCTGCTGAAGACACTTGTTTGCCCTCTGGCAGATGACGGTGTTTTGTTTCAAAACAGTTGCGTTTAATGGCCCTGAAGCGGCATCATCATGAACATTCGTCAGTCAATTAAGCGAACTGAGTTTGACTTTCGATAAACGTGTTTCCCCAACCTCTGCGCACCAGAGATAAATACTGATTTTTACTAGCTGACTATTCGCGTAAATCTGCCTTTGCTATGGTAACTATTTGGCTGCTAGTATTGGCTTCTGCTCTCAGCACTTTAATTGAATGATACAAACGAAAGGCAAGAACAACTGACATCGTTATGAACGAGCTCGTCATTGACTTCATGAACAAGAGTTGAAACTTTTCTAATATGCAAAAAATGCCGGTAAAAACTAATTAAAAACTTTTTATAAATGAGAGAAATGCAATTATGCTAAAGTATAGTTTTACAATTTATACATTGAAAATTACCAATTTCTTCTTTTATACCCTTGCACAGGATATTATAGTTTAAGCCAAAAAGGGAAATAAAATTAGAACTTTGTTGTTTCTTTATATATGTATGTCCATACACTTCGAGATCATGTAATTTCTAAAGATTTCAGTTTTACTTTTAATAACGGACGTCTTATTATATAGCTGTCATAGGAATAGAATAGGTAAAAAAATGTACCGGAGAATTTTGAATAAAAAAGGCCAAAACATTATCTTTTAAGCCGAAAACTTTTCTTACAGAAATTTTTTTTTAGGTTGCACACTTCTAAATAGTTGTGGCTTAATTCTCTAAAGATCTGCGTTTAAATATTAGTTTGTATTTTAGGTTACATTTTTTATCCAAATTACCAAATTTTCACAAAACGGCTTTCCAGAAAAGAGTCCAAAAAATGGAGTCCAAAATACTTTTCTTACAGACATCCGATTTTAAAGTGGCATTCTTTCTAAATAATTGTGCTTTAATTCTCTAAAAATCTGCATTTAAATCTTGATTTGTATTTTTATGATTATTTGATACCCTTTTATTATAATTCAGTCAAAAATTTGCAACGCATTAAAATGCCTTTCATTTTCGACCATATTAGATATATGTATAAACTTCGGTTTGCCGATGTGTGCTTTTCCTTATTTGTTAGTGGTCTTCCTTCTGGTTTTAATTAACTTTATAAAAAAATCAGATGGCTAAGGCTGCACTCTTTAAGAGATTTTCTATAATTTAAATGCAAGTGCATCTTCTTATTTTCTCCTTAACATGTACTATAAATTAAATATCCTATTTAGTAGAAAACTATTTTTAGTTTAGTCCTGCAATTTAAGCTGTGTAACTGCGGTGCGTAATTGGCCAATTACGCTTGCAATCGCATGAACAGCGTAGTAAGTCTACCTACCTTTTTTTTCTCAGAAAATTCATCTCGGATTTCCGTTTTATTATGCACTCCCACATTACAAGGATGCTTCAAGTTTACTTGAATGGCTTCTTGATGGCTGTCCTAACCGTTTTCCTACATAGAAACTTGTTTGTCTAAAGTTTGTTTCGCCAAGTTGATAAATATTTAATCGTGAGGAATGGTTGGGGCAAAAACACAGAAGTATGGAAAAACAGCTATCCAGTTGAAATGTAAATGGAAATACTTGTACATGTTTGCAAAACAAATCGACAATATGAATGAATTTGCATTTCGTGTTGCTAGTTGGAGCTCTTCTGAACGGAGTAGCACATATAATTTCGACATATCAAAACAAGAAAATCTAAAATCTTTCGTAACTAGAAAGAACTACTTAAATACATTTCATTACTGAATGTAAAAAGCCATCAGTAAAAAATGAATTAATAAAAGAACTACCTAAGTACATTACGTTACTGACAACAAGAAACCATCAGTAAAAAATTAATTAAAAATGTAGTAAAGTGCCCACCCTTTTTAAGCTAACACTTCAGGATCTAAATGAAATTTGGCTTATAACTGCGAACCTGAGTAATTAAAATTCCTGAAGCGTTAGCTCAGTTTATATACAACCAAAAATTAATTTAATGTGTTAGTAGTTTGGAAGTTCCCCTGAATTTCCGTTGTAAGTTTAATCTTTAAAGTGCACTCCAGATCCGCGTTTATCGGCTTACCGGGCCAGTACAGTCCGTGGCATCACTGACAGGCACGCACACTGGCAACGTGACAAACGATTCAATTTGGGGATTTTATACATTATTGCGCTTGTTCTCGCAGTTGTTGCTGCTCTCTTCAATTTATATAAGACTAATTACAATTGAGTGCTTCGGTTCCAACTGGACCGGTATATGATTGGGTGTTGGGGGTTTCGGGGCCGATTGCCCACGCGGTCAGTGGACTCTGCCCGCATTTATGTCCTTATCCTCTTTCAGAATCACTGTCCTTGACAGGATGGAATTAAAGTGGGCAGACAGAACGAACATTCCGTTGGCACGGAGACAAAATCTGGCTGACTTTTCCTCTGCATTTATAACAGTTTAAGTTACAGATAATTCAATTAATTACACGCTGGGCGACCTCGACAACATCGTTAGACATCGACAGACAGTCGCTGAATTAATTTCCCCCGCCTCTCGAGTTCACTTTTACTTGTTTATCCAAAGTGGTAACTCGCTTATTAAAACGTTGTGGTTGCACAGTTTTTCCACATTTTCGTGGGTTTTTAAATATAAAATGTTGATTAGGTGGTTGGTTAATTAGAAAGTGTGTTTCCCATATTAAAAGTTTTCTCAAAAGCTGTTTTATAAATTCAACAGGTTGAATAATTTGTATTCAAAATGTGCTTTGGTTAAATTCAAACTTTTTTAACAACCTACATAATTGTTCACTTCAAAAATTGGTTTAATAAGCTTTACAGAGTTTTTAAAGTGTATTTATCTGCTGCCTCTTCTAACAAAAATGACTTTGTTTCCAGCGAAATAAGGATTTTAAAAAGCCCTAATAAAATGATTTATTTTCGTTCTGCGAAACTAAATTTTCTGGAAACGATTGGCTCACAGAGTTATAACTTCTCAAATAGGAAGAGTCCTAGCGCTTTTCTGAGAAATTCAAATTTTTCTTTCTGAGAAAGAGCAGTTTCCGGTTTGCTGAAATTTGCAATCACCCAGTGTCGACTGTACTGCACTCGATCCAGTAATCATGTAAATTTCCCCTTTTTGCGCAATTGACTGCGACCTTTATTTATGGCGACGCGCCAATTAAAATGCCGTTGATTGGAAAGCAGTAAAATGTAAGCAAAAGCCCCCAAAGAAAAACAAAAGCCCGGCAAGCATCCAGAGCAACAAGTTGGCGGACAGAGTCTGACATTAAACCCTAACTAGACCACTGGATGTGGTGCATGTGGAGGTGGTGGTTTGGTAACCAGCAGTTACCAGCCACCACTAACCTGTTAATATGCAGCCGCACCACCTGCCTGGCAACTGGCAACCACATTGCATTGACTGAATCTCGAATGCGCATATTATTATCCAGTGGAATTAGTCAATAAGCTGTGGTTGCCATCGTTTGCTCATTGTCTCACTTTTTGTTTCTATGCCAGAATCATGAGAACGGAAAACCCAGTGCTTTTGGCTGAGTACCGCACTAATTAGGCCTTTGCCTGGCAGAACCAATCAATTATACATTTTCTGCGAAAACAGTACCAATTAGGAGCTCGCTCTAATGGGCACAAAGGACACGGGCCTACAGGCAGCTCAACATGCTGAAAACTAGAACATCGAAAGTCCAAATTCCGTTACTGTGGGGGATTTTCCGGCATTGGTTTTTCAAACTAATTTTGGCAGCCGTTGTCTCTACACTAAGTAAAATCCCAAATAAAATAACATAACTCTTTTCATTAAAATGGATTTATTTTGTTTATCTGCAAGCTTATGCGCTTTAATCATTTCATTTATGAGATCGGTCCTACATTTTATTTGATTGCTAAGTTATTGCTTTTAAATGGATGGAGCAATAAATAACCTTGTAAAAATTAAATATTTGTCACACTGCCTATTTTTTGTATTTCCAAAATTTTCAGTTGCGCTATCTATGTTCCTTATCATTCTTTTTGCAATACCATATATATGCCACATATTTGTATATAAGCAGACTGGGCCAAAATATGTACATATTGTGCCTTTTGATTTAGTAAACATAAGAAGATTGGAAACCGTCGGGTCTAAGATGAAAAATAATTGATTTGGAATCCAAAATTTGAGCCACACAATAAATAATAAATCTGACTTTAACATTAATATAAACACATCGAAGATATACACGTGGTTGCTATGGAAGCTTATTTATTTATAGCTTTTAAGATATTTGAAAATCTTTTTAAAGAATCGAGAATTAATATTGGAAGAATAAAGCCGAAAGACTGATTATGCTAAAAATAGATAAAATAGGTTAAGCCCAACAAAACCGATTAAATAAAGCAAAATGCTTAAGGAACTATAAACTATTTATTTAAATCTTCTTTGAAGAATGTAGAATGAATAGGATGTAAAACCGTTTCAGTAAAATTCCTGAAAATCCAGCTTCAATATAAATACTGTGTAGGCTAAAATCGATTTGGTTGAGCTTAAACTGTTCAAAATATTCCGCACAAGTGTGCAGGTGAGCGAAAATCCTTCCCAACTCCGTTTCTTGAAATAGCCCCTTTCCTGGATATTTGTTTTGTTGGCCAGAAAGGGGTGAGATGGGGGGGGGTTTGTACCTCGATTTGGACTCACCTCATGGGCCTTGGGATGCTGATGCTGACAGTTGTGTGCGGTGGCCGAAACGAGAAGCCAAAAGCAGATGCCGAGGGCTGCCAGGAATTTGGCCATATTTTGCGGGCGGGTCAGGGGGTTTTGGCCATGTTTCGGGTTGCGTGGGATATAAATGCTAATTATTGAGTATTGAGCATCATTGTGGTCTCCCTCACATCCGCAGGAATACGACTCTCGGGTCTTTTAGTTTGTTTACAACATAACTTTGTTTACTTTTCGTTGTTTGCCCAGGTTTGCTTTTGCCTGTGTTTCTTATGTTTGCTTTGTCAATTAACTCGCGAAAACCGGCTCGAATCCCTTTCCTCTCACTCGCCCACAAACAAACACACTTTGTATGTTGTGGACTACTTTTTGTTTTCGGGTGGGTGTGTCCACCAATCTCAGCCCACGCCAAAAAAGTACACAAAACTGCAGTTTGCGGCAAAAACAAAACCGCACTTAAATGTCAAATTCTCATGAACTGTCCATGCAGCGAATGCATTCTGTAGGACTCGGCGCAAACCCCGTAAACAGTCGACACTGTGGACACCCAATAATAGGGATATTCGGGGCTTTTCATTCAGCAAAACAATGAAAACACACGCGCAAAGGGGTTGCGGGGCGGAGTGCCGGCGGGGGTTGTTAACAAACAGCGGACGAAAACACAAAACGAAAACGATGATAACGCGAATAAACGTCCGAATTGGCTGACGATTGAAATCGAATTGAACGAAATCGAAAGCAAAACTATCGAATTGGCGTTCGCCGCGCTTGCACAGTGGCGCGCGTTATCGAAATTGCTTCCTTTTTTGGCCGCACTGGCGCTTCTCCTTATCATTTTTCTAACAGAAACGTGTAAATATAATGATTTTCCAACCTGTTTATGTGTACTGTCATGGCTAGAAAATAGTTAAAGAATCCTAAAATTCCTGCTTAAAGGTAAATCGAATAGAATGACATTGAAAGGAATATTATCGTTATCTAGTGTTGGCTAACATGCAAGTGCAGAACATCTGCTTGTGGCGGATCAGCTGTTTGTGTGAGCGGTACGGCTAGTCTGATACACCGCCTTAGCGGGTTTGTTTAAAATTGCACCGAATTCTTTTTTATTGAAAATGGTACTAACTGAATTTTACTTACCCTTAAACAAAAAAAAACTCCTTGCTTCAAAAAGTTTCCCTAGGTATCAAGAAAATATATATCACTTTAATCACAATAAATCAATTAAATTTTAAACAATTCTCATAAATACCGATTTCTTTTTTATGAAAAATCTGTATGGCATGGTCAATAAAATACCGCTTTAAAAACTGAATTTATTTTTAAGTTTGAAAGAAATTATCTTAAGGCTTAAACTAGAAAAAATATTTCCACGTCTATGTACAAATATTTATTAGCCAATGATTCTCAAACCTCTAAGGTCCAAATTGAGTTAAGTTTGTGACTTGATTCTGCACGGAATCCAGAAGTACAAGATTATATCCCCATTATTATCTTGAAAGATGTCTTTTCTTTTACAGGCTATTATTATATTCAGGCCTGGCAATAAGCTAAACACCCTGCCAAAATTTGAATTCATTCCACTACAGTATCTTTTGATTATTTGTTGACGTTAATTTGATAGAAGTTTGATTATCATTGGGTTTGAGTATCCGCTAAAGGTGCGTGTCTTTACTTATTACAGGTCATTTTAGTACATTTTTTAATGGTTTTCGTTTTAGCACAGCTCCGGCAGTGTGACCACCTTTCTGGCCACTTTCGCAAGGCGTTACGGGACTCTCTGCGTTGTTTGCAAAGTGGTCATACAGATTTGGTATTTTTCCGTTAGCTCAGCTGCGGGTTCCACACATGGATGTTTGTGTCGATTTTTTTTCAAAACAATATTTGCTGCCAACAGTTGATGTTGGGTCGCGGTCGCTCGTTTTCTCTCCATAGAGTAATAATGTATAATAATGTATTTCCAGTGATGCCACCTAGGCGAAAAACGGAAAAAAAGAGAGTTTTGCAAATGTTCGAATCGAGCCTGAATCCATGCCCATGGTGAGATTCTGCAGCTGGACTGGTCGCTCTCATTGCGGATTTTTTAGCTTATGGGGAATGCGGGCGAGCGACCGAAATGGCCTTATGATTTTGCTTTGTTTACAAATATGTTGTTATTGTTTTCCTTTGATGGGCCTGAATTCAACGTCCACACGGGGCCCACATTTCAGTTGGGCTTGAATTTGATTTCACATGAAAGGCAACAAGTGGGACGGAATTAAATTCCTTATGGGAGTAAATTTATATTGTTTTTAGGAACTAATTTAATTAATATTGGGCCAGGAAAAATTATAATATTTTACATTTGAATATGAACACCTAAATTAAATTAAATATTAATTTATATGTACATTTATATTGTTTTAATTAGTTTTTATACCCTTGTAGAGGGTATTATAATTTTGGTCAGAAGTTTGTAACGCAGTGAAGGAGACATTTCCGACCCTATAAAGTATATATATATTCTTGATCAGCATCACCAGGAGAGTCGATCTAGCCATGTCTGTCTGTCCGTCTGTTTCAATACCGTTTGCAAGCTCAGTTTAAAAGCTAGCGATCTGAAACTTTCACAAGCATCCTAAAACATGTGTACGCAGATCAAGTTTGAAAATCGCCCCGATCGGACGTCTATATCCTATAGCTCCCATAGGAACAATAGGGTGAATGAGGTCCAAATTTGATGATTATCAGAATATTTCGCGCAGTGTGTAAGCTACTGACATCAATTTTTCCAATTCTTATTTATTTACGCATTATTTACGCATCTTGGTTAGGGTAAAAGCGCTTGCCGTTCGGAAGTCTATATCTTAAAACTTCCGTAGGAAAAATTGTTAAAGGCTGCGAAAGTATCCATTTTTTTCTATTTTTATATGACATTTTTGCAGTATAAAAGCAATTGAAATCAAAAGATGCAAATCTAGTTTATTTATGAATACCTTATTCCTTTCGCTACTTTTTCAGTTTTAGCAATTTCGGCAAAGTCTGCAAGGGTATTAAAACTTCGGCTTGCCGAAGTTAGCTTCCGTCCTCGTTTTTACTTCAAACGTTTCATGTAAATTTCTGATATTTTAGAGATGATTTTGTAATAATTTCAAAAATTTTGATGCATTTCCGTAAGCAGGACACAGGGCGACGTAGGCCAATGCACGAAACAGGAACCCCGCTTGCGATTATTTTACAGGTAGTAAAAATTGTTTGAAACAAAAAATTCAAAAATTTTCTTATTTAGTATGAGTGTAATTATGGAATAGACTACTTTTATCGAAATTGAATAAAAAGTAACATGATTCCGAACTTATTTGGTCGGCCGTATACAGTGGTAATTGGTTCTAGATTTAAAGAAAATTATTTAATGCGAATCGTATACAATTTGGACTATTAATTACTGAAATCTGTGTTTATTACTTAAACAAAAAAAACCATAGGTAAGGATTCGGCATTTATTCAATTCAGTTTCCACATTTCAGATGGGCATGAATTCAACGTCCACATTTCAGATGGGCATGAATTCAACGTCCACATTCCACATGGGCCTGAATTCAACGTCCACATTTCAGATTTCTCTCATTTTACATTTATTTTGCACTCAATGGCTTTACAGACACGTTAACAGAGAATAACATGCTAAAAATTAGAGAAAACACAACTTTGTTATCGATATAACATGAGTGAAATGAGATTTGTGTTGAGAGCACGTTGTTGTATGGGTGCAACGTCGAGCCTCGTGACGTCACGTCAGGCCATGTCAGGCAGAGCGAACCGTTGAATTATACAAAAAATCTGCTTGGCGGTTCGAAGTGTGGTGAAGGCATTGAAAGTAAACAAACTAAGGTTTTCCAGAAAAATCATTGAAAGAATAAGGAGTTTGCATTGCCATCGATTTATATCTAACCCCTGAGCCACATTTTCCAGAAAAACCTAAAATTTCTACAAATTAAGCCATATATAAGCACATTTTTTGAATTTTATTTATGAGGCAACCTTGCTAAATGTCGTTTGGGTTCTTTAAAGTGTTAATTGGGTTCTTTAACAGTACTTAAATATCATAAATCTCTCAAAAAATAACCAAAGCCCGCCAAATTTCTTGAATTCAACCCCTACTGGCTGTACTCTTCAATCGCATGCAGCTCTTACGGCGGTTGCATCCTATTCCTGGTCCCTCGCACAAGTTTGAACAGCTGATATTTTCACCACACCGTTCAAACACGGGCGTCGGGCCGGCGTCGAGAAATCGACGGGCAGAGCAAATGAAACCTCTATACGTTTCTTACTCTATGCTATGACGATTGACATAGAGCATAGAGTAATAATGTATAGAGGCGTCATTTGCTCTGCCCGCGCTCTCGAGTGACTTTGCCAGTGATGCCACGTAGGGGAAAAACGGAAAAAAGAGAGTTTTGCAAATGTTCGAATCGAGCTTCATTCCATGCCCATGGTGAGATTCTGCAGCTGGACTGGTCGCTCTCATTGCGGATTTTTTAGCTTATGGGGAATGCGGGCGAACGACCGAAATGGCCTTATGATTTTGCTTTGTTTACAAATATGTTGTTATTGTTTTCCTTTGATGGGCCTGAATTCAACGTCCACACGGGGCCCACATTTCAGTTGGGCTTGAATTTGATTTCACATGAAAGGCAACAAGTGGGACGGAATTAAATTCCTTATGGGAGTAAATTTATATTGTTTTTAGGAACTAATTTAATTAATATTGGGCCAGGAAAAATTATAATATTTTACATTTGAATATGAACACCTAAATTAAATTAAATATTAATTTATATGTACATTTATATTGTTTTAATTAGTTTTTATACCCTTGTAGAGGGTATTATAATTTTGGTCAGAAGTTTGTAACGCAGTGAAGGAGACATTTCCGACCCTATAAAGTATATATATATTCTTGATCAGCATTACCAGGAGAGTCGATCTAGCCATGTCTGTCTGTCCGTCTGTTTCAATACCGTTTGCGAGCTCAGTTTAAAAGCTAGCGATCTGAAACTTTCACAAGCATCCTAAAACATGTGTACGCAGATCAAGTTTGAAAATCGGCCCGATCGGACGTCTATATCCTATAGCTCCCATAGGAACAATAGGGTGAATGAGGTCCAAATTTGATGATTATCAGAATATTTCGCGCAGTGTGTAAGCTACTGACATCAATTTTTCCAATTCTTATTTATTTACGCATATCTTGGTTAGGGTAAAAGCGCTTGCCGTTCGGAAGTCTATATCTTAAAACTTCCGTAGGAAAAATTGTTAAAGGCTGCGAAAGTATCCATTTTTTTCAATTTTTATATGACATTTTTGCAGTATTAAAGCAATTGAAATCAAAAGATGCAAATCTAGTTTATTTATGAATACCTTATTCCTTTCGCTACTTTTTCACTTTTAGCAATTTCGGCAAAGTCTGCAAGGGTATTAAAACTTCGGCTTGCCGAAGTTAGCTTCCGTCCTCGTTTTTACTTCAAACGTTTCATGTAAATTTCTGATATTTTAGAGATGATTTTGTAATAATTTCAAAAATTTTGATGCATTTCCGTAAGCAGGACACAGGGCGACGTAGGCCAATGCACGAAACAGGAACCCCGCTTGCGACTATTTTACAGGTCGTAAAAATTGTTTGAAACAAAAAATTCAATACGAATCGCATAAAATTTGGACTATTAATTACTGAA